GAAGGCACTTGCGGCATTGTGGCGCAGATGTTAACGCTGCACTACCATGGTTTAGAGTCCGACTAGGGGTGCTGAGGAGACCTAGGCGAGGTCGAAACTGCAATCCGCCCTAGAAAGAGCGCCTTCTGGGAAAAAAGGTTATGTGAACTTTAATGGAAATGTCAGACCTACTCATACTTGTAAAAAATCCAACTAGCATTCCTTCGCAAGTGTGTAGAAACCTCGGTTTCATCATCACATATCTTATAGACATGATATGTTTTCTGCTATAACTATGAGCTTAGTTAGCCCCTAATTCATCACTTGCTTGATGTTTGGCCATCAATTTTGATTGGTGTTGCAAATAATTATTTTTACTGACAAGTTGGGTCAGACGTCACGGGGTATTTTCATATGAGAGGAGCCTGGAACTGTAGGGTTTATTGCTTGCTTGCTTGCTTCCATCCTTATCTGTTCCTGAGCATTTCCACTATCGTATATAGCAAAACTCACTATTTACGTTTAATTTTAATTTTTTTAATCTTCCTAAATTGTTTTAAATTCTATTTTTGCTTCCCAAATAAGATGCTTTTTGTTAATTTGTAAATTTATCTTTTATTTACGTTTATCCCCACTCATCATTTACTCTCATTTTTCAGGAGTTCATCGAGGAGGTTTCCAAAGATCACTGCAAATTCGACATGGCTGTACCTGCCATCGTTCGACCACTTCAGGTTGATTCAAGTCCAAAGATCTCCCTTGAGAACACAATTGGCACCGAGGTAGCTTTTTATCCTGCTTCATATCTGATTATATTTGAGTGATAATCCATAATATTTTTGTCAATTAGATTATCTCTATTGTTAAAAGATATTTTTTTCGATACAGCTCTATTTACGAGAGGACAGCACTTAGTGACTTATTAAATCATAATTTTTATACCAAAAAGATTGTTTTCTATTTAATTTTTAATAAATATGTTTTGAAAAATATCTTTGTGTGTTGGTATGAATCAGTTCAGCTCTTACTTTGTGACTTTAAGTAGGAAAATGAGGGATAAAAACAGTGGGTTGACTTCGTTGTCGCAACTTGGTCTTGTGGTCAGGGAGACTATATAAAATGCACCTAGTCCGAAGTGG